AAAAGAAAAGAAAAGAAAAGAAAAGAAAAGAAAAGAAAAGAAAAGAAAAGAAAAGAAAAGAAAAGAAAAGAAAAGAAAAGAAAAGAAAAGAAAAGAAAAGAAAAGAAAAAAGAAAAGAGAAAAGAAAAGAAAAGAAAAGAAAAGAAAAGAAAAGAAAAGAAAAAAGACAAATAGACCATTACTCATTATTTGTGTTATATGGTCTTTTTCATTAATTCAAGGCTCAGTGCCAATCTCACATCTCTAAGGAAGCACAAATTACCCATATGATTTTATGTTGGATTTATTCTTTCTGGTATGCTTAGGAAGCTATCATTAAAAGATGCCTTCAGAATAAGAACTTAAAAAGGATAAGTGACTGCCTGGTCACTGAATATCATCATCCCCTGTTTATTAATTATAAATATTTTCAATCCATTTAAAAACTTGCATTATATTTTATATCTCAACTAAAATGTCATTTATATCCTCAACAGATAAAACTTTTTAAGCATTAATATCTAAATTTGCCTCACCTAACAAAGGTAACAGCTCAAGAAAAGACTGGAAAAATCTGAAGAGCTCATGTTATTAGTCATACAGATGGGCTAAGAATATTATGCAGACAAATTGCATGCTGCCTGCTTAGGTCAACAGATTGCCCATTAAGGATAGATAATCTGAAAATGATTTAGGATGCATTTATGGGCAGAGGGGAGCAGAAGTTCTGGCCAAAGTTGTTCACACTGAGTTGGAATAATACCAGTGGATGACAATTTATCACCTAGAGCCCATAGAACTGAACTGCAGCTAGCTAGTTGGACATACTACTCAACCTACCATGCCAGAAATGGGCAGCTGTATAAAAGCCTCTGCTGAATTACACTCTGAGGATGCTTTGTGCTGGCTCTTCTCCACAGTAAGAATTGTGAAGGGGATGAAGTAAATGTGCCACATCACCCTGAAGTCAGATATGTACTTCTTATCACTTTTACCTCTATTCCTTTTTTTGGCAAAGTAAATGCTTGCACTGATGCTGATGCTTGCATTCCAAGCCAGGGGACTAATTTTTGGTTATTTGATGTTACAGCCAAAGAAAATACTACCCCCTAAACACAGAAGGCCCAAAACAGGGGAGCATACCACCATCGAGCCTTAAAATACAACTCTAATTCTTAGTCCTGGACCTTAATTTGTGTTCTAGATACATATAGCTCTTGAGAAGTTGATTAGTAGGTTGCAATGAAATAAGCAATGAAGTTGATAAAGAACTGTTCTTTGACTCACTTACTTTATATTAGTAAACATCCTTATTTCTGTTTTCTCTGCTTATTTCGTTGTGTGTTATCCCAACTGAGAAAAAGAGATAGGCTATTATAAGACCTTTGTCCTACATGTCCCGATTTATGCATCATTATTTGATATGAATAGTCATTAAAGTCTTTTTTTTTTGTGTGTGTAGAAACTGAAGTATTTAATTAATTCATTATCTCAGAATGCTTCACACTGACAGTTTTGCTACCATCATGGTATTAACTGGGAGCTATGCTTTTAAAAAGACTGCTCAAAATGAATTCTGAAGGCGTTTCTCAAGCATGTACTCTGTACTGAGGACAAAAGATGGTTTGAAACTGCATTTCCTTTTTGTAAGCTCCCTTCAAAAGGTTACATGAAAATGCTAGAAATATTTTGGTTGATAAACTAAGACAGAAATGAGATATATATCTGAGGTCTTTGAACAGTTGTGAACTTCAGTAGGAATGCTGCAGCAGTGATCTGCAGCAGCACTGGTAATGGTTGCATTCTTCCATTTTCTAATGACACTAAAACAACTGGGTTTGCTCAGTTTGGTCTTCTAAGACTTTTATTATACTAAATAACTAATGGTCAGCAATTACAAAATTTCAAAGACATTCAGACATTAATTATACACCAATAATGCTTACTAACCTCTCATTAGCTCAGGATTCCTATGGGTTTGGTACTTTGCTCCCTTCTTCCCTCTTAAGCTGACAACATAAGTAAGAACCAAAATAGAATTATTTTTTTTCCCCTCTTGTACTGTCCGTTGGCATAATCGGAAGTATTTTAAAATACTTCACATGCAAAGACATTTTAAAAACCCTATAAATCAAACAGAAACTAACATCTGGGTAGAAGAATTAAAACAATGAAATAAAGAATAAATGTAAAAAAATACTTTCTGGCACCTGAGGGGTTGTGACTACCCTTTGTGCAGATTCACTTGTCTACACCTATCCTATGTGTCTGGATCCTCAGAACATCCAATATTATTTAGAAACAAAAGAAGCAGTGTCAGTTCAGATGTCTTATCTAAGCTATATTCAGATTCTCCACAGGAGGAATCACCCTGTGTCGAGCTCTGACATATTGTGACAAGACTGCTTCTTGCAGGCAAGCTGATTTGTTTTCTTTACACTCAGTGGAGGAGAGCAATGCAGGTGTGATGCTGAGATCACAGGAATCCTTGCCTCAAAATTTGGGCCAAGATTCTTTAAAGTTTGGTTGTATGGTTAAAAATTATTGGTTCTGTTATGGTTTCTACCCACCTGTTGAAGGGTGGTGATAACCAGTGTTAGAAGTCTTCAACTGAGAAGTAAATTACTTTAGTTTTATGACTAACAAGCAATAAACTGTTATGCTGCCAGAAGAAAATAATTTTTGTATATATAGTCTTACCCAAGCTGTTCTTCTTGCAGAGTGTTTTTTCATTAGACACAATATGTTTAAGCAGAGCACAATATAAGTGCTTCTTTTTCAAAGTAGCATGCCCTTCATTTTTTTTTAAAAAACGAAGTATTGATGTTTGTGGTTTTTTTAGATATTAAAAGTAACAATTGCTGAGCTCCTTCTAAAGCATAAGACAAACCAGAAAAGCTGTAAGAGAACCAGGTACAATATTTAGCCAGGAGACACTCTTGGTAGCTTTGGGACTGGGAATTTATGACACTAAACAGTTTCATACGAATTGTTTCTCCAAATAAATTCTATCCTTAAGGATAAGGCAGACAGAAGTGACATTTAGGCTGACCTTCCAAGAAAACCAATTTTGTTTTATTGTTTTAACAAGAGCTACAGATGTTTGTGAGAGCATCTGCTAAATTTACCCTGATTTTAAAGTTTGATTAATGCTCAAACAAATTAATGCTCAGCACATTAATATGAATTATTATTAGATTTTTAAAAATAAAAGGAAATCTTGACCTGTCCTGGCTGGGCAAAGGCTGTAAATCCGTGACCTATGCTTCGTCATACTGTGAATCCAAAAAAGTACTATTGTAAGGTTAATTGCATTAACTCAGCTTAGTATTAGTGTCTGTAGTTAGGAGTGATTTGGTTACTTTATTTCCTATTAGTGCAAAATTTGCAAATTATGACAGCTTTCAAAGCTGCATAAAAATTAATCAGTACTCTGCAGAATCACATAACTGCTTGTAAACATGAGTCATTAGGGGTCATAGTTACTTATACTATGAAAAAATGAATGTTAACCATTTCTTTTCCAAAATGTGCCTGTTTATAAGGGAAGAAGCCCTTGATGGCACTCATGACGTCCCAGTCACCTTATAAATAAAATTACAATCTATAACACTGTAAAGCTTCCCACATTTTATATAAAGCCATTTGTGAGCTAAATGCATTTAGATCTGCAATCCTG